CTGCCATTGTTAGTCAGAATGTGTTTGTTGATAATTGGCTTTGCTTTTCCTCACCCGAAGTCCACGCGCTCTCCGCATATTGGGCGATGTGGTGCGTGTTGGGTTCGAAGATGTTGGAGTGCATCAAAAGTTTGGAAATGTCCCGCCGACGGATCCTTGCCTCGCCCGTCGGTCCTAGCGCCGCGCCACAGTCTGGGGGATTGGCCACGCTCTTCAGTTGCACGCCTCGACTTAGAATTAGTATCACGGACGCGCTGCTTTTGACATCGGAGGATAAAATGATGAGGGTGGACACAGCGTTCAGCCGAACGAGCAATACACATGTTCAACTGCAGTATTGTCGAGATGCTTGGTACAATCTCGTCGCATCATTCAATAGAGGTATGGAAGGATAACATTTTCTAATCATAATCCACCAATCTATCTACAACCAGCCTACTCCTTGGCTTCCTTCAACCTTAACTTGACACCATCCGCGGGGCAAGTCGTCAAGCTCAGCCCGTTCCTGACATAACCCATGCCACCCTTCTCCTTCGGCTCCCAAGTATTACCAACACCCTCAATCGCCTCAAACCTCTGCATTAACCTTACGACGACATATCCAGCTTCTGTCAGGGCAAATTGCTGTCCGATGCAAATCCTAGGGCCGCCGTTGAAAGGAAGATACTCCCACCCACTCTTCCTTCCATTCCAGCGCTCAGGTCGGAATTCTTCAGCGTCAGGTCCCCAAAGATCAGCACGACGGTGCATGATGTATACGCTGTAGTCTATTTGCATGCCCTTCTTGACGTAGAGAGGTGCTGTGCCGTCTGGACCACCGCCCACGGGCAGGGTAGAATCCTTGAGGGCACGGCGACCATCAACAGGGACGACTGGGTAAAGACGCAGAGTCTCGTTCAAAACCCACTGCAGATAATTGCACGACTTCAGCGACTCGAAAGTAATGTTCTTAGGGTTCGAATAGGTGCCGAAAGTCTCCAACACGACGCTGCGCAGGGCGTTGTAGACTTCTGGGTGCTCTGAGAGGAGCATGAAGACGTACGACAGTAGCGATGCCGTAGTGTCGCGGCCGGCTAGTAGAATTGAGATCAGGTGTTCGCGAAGCTCGATGGGGTTGCGGGTAGACTCTGCAAGTCCATCAAGGAAGACGTATTTTTGCTTGCCATGTGACTTCTCCTGGGTAGTACCCTTCTCCTTTGACAATGCCAGTTGGACGTAGTGATCAATGAAGTCGTGGCAGCGTTTGCAGTGGTCTTTGAACGCCTTGTCGTATACGAGCCAGTAGGCCTCTCCGAGACGGCTAGCTTGGGCAATGGTGTTCTGCGCCTGGTCGAAGGACGTGGCAAAGTCTTGTTCGTTGACAGCCATTGGGGGCTTACTAGACTTGTAGTCGGGTAGGGATGCCAGCTGAGAGTCAACGCTCTCGCCAAAGAGGAACTCAGTGGCGCTGTCGAGCGTCAGGCGGAAGAAGAGCGGCTTCAGGTCCGTGACATCTGTCCAGCCGTCTGAGTTGGTAGGCAGTACGCGCATCATGTTCTTCATATGTTCTTCCTCAAGGTCCAAGTCGCTGACTTGGTCGCGAGCGAACTGTGGCCGAAGTAGTGACCTCGCATGCGCCCATTGCTCGCCATCGCTGGAAAACTGCTTGATGTCAGCGTCTGACGTTCTTGTCGCATTCCTGAGAATAGTACTTACAATGCCATGGCCGAGTAGTGGAGCAAAGTTCCCGTTTCGCCTTTCTCCTAATCCGTAGTCCTTGAATTGCGTGGCCAGTATAGCCTGGATGTTCCTTGGTTCCACTGTGAAGTATCCCTCTGCGCCCATGATCTTTTGATGGAATGTGTTGACGATCTTGCCTTCCCTCGCGCACGCATCATCAACGCGACCTTTCAAATACTGCGGTATACGGGATTGTTTGTCCGCCTTCATTATTTTGGCAACATTCTGGAGTCCAAGGGGATCGAATGGAGACTGCTGAGTCTCAGGGGCAGGCAAACAGCCCAATTGACGTGCTCTAGCAGCATGGCGACGCGAGATGATGATTGAGGAGATGATCTTGTAGAGGACAAAAGAAATGCCAGCCCAAGCGGCTAAGAGGATGGAGTTGTGCATGTTGGTAACAGAACTATGTGAGGTGAACACGCAGCCGTGGCAGCTTTCGTCTGTTGGGGAGAAGTTCTCGAGAAGGATTGACCCTTTTAAGTATCTAGGTATAGAACTCAATCGCACTACCAACGCGCCAGGGTCCCTGTGGCGCTTCCGCTGCAACAGCCATTCACGTAAACTGCCGCAAGGATAAAGAGGAGCCAGACCCACGAGGCGTACACATGTTCACAGGCGTTAGTTCCTCGGAACCGTATCGCGCCCTGTTCGCACACGGGAGCGGATAGTTATGACCTCCGAGTTCGTTTTTGACTACGGGTATTCTGCTTCCAGTCCACTGGGTCTGCTGTCCATGGAGATGCCACGCGTTCCCCGCATTTTGCATCGGACATCTTGGCTCTGGCGAAGTCGTACTTTTTACTCGGACGAATTCTGTCCATTTCTCGCGTGCAATACGCCTCGGTAATTATGGTCGTGCGACCGTTGCGTCGGAGGCTAAAGAGCTCAGGCGCATGTAAGGGTCGCTTAAGAGTAAAGTGCCATCTTTTACAATAAAATGGATCCACCTGCAACGTTTCTTGATTACTCGATAAGCCGTGTGTCTAGACGCCTGTCTCGTAGGAACTCGCAGCAGCAGCGCGTGTGATTGTGCAGAAGGATGAGGTTGCAGCCTGCAAACGTGCGAGTACTGCGCGCATCTGGCTGCCAAGGAGTCCGAAGCTGGTGAAACTTGCGAGATGCCACCAAGAAGACAGGCCATTCCCGACGCGCGTGGTCGCTTGTCCCCGATGGGAGCGATATTTGCTTCCGATAACACCTAGGCAGCCATCGTAGGAATCTTCGATATACAGCCTTTACCCGCTTGACCTTGTGCCAGCAGTTCAGTCGTTGACTCTCCCCTTATCTGTTCGTACCCTGTAGCCTCCTCCGCTTTGATGAGCGCCAAAATGGCGGTGCAGGCTCTCCACTGTTCTCGGTCGCGCCCACATGCCGCGAAAACATGTTCTGTTAGCGAAGTAGAAGACCGCAGCAGTGTCGCGGGCAGCTGAGTCATAATTCCTTACAGTCTGGTACGTTCGCGCAAAGTCCCAAACACGGCCTAGTGCGCCCGGAATGGTTCCGTGCTGCCCAGGTGGTGCCCAGGTGAGTCGCTCCAGTCGTGACTCCCTCACTCAAACCATGGAAAGAACGACCACTCTACCAGTTGAGACTGAAGCTGCGCGTCACACCAAGATGATCAGGCGCGATGTGAAAGCAGCCTGAAACCCATAAATAGCCGACTTTGGTGCCCACAGCACCACCTCGCGCACGCGACCGGCATCATTGCGCATCGCACTGCGCAAGTCAACCTTTGAAGAATCTACTTCAGCTACACGACTATGGACGCTGGTTGGGACGAGTTGGAGCGCATGGCGCATGCAGCATCAGCCTCTGACGCGCAGATTGCTTCCCAATACCCGACACCGGAAACCATCGAGCGCTGGATGCGACTCTTTGGATATTCCCGAATCGAAGCTGTCCGTCTAATCAGTGATCAGCGCGGAGATGGTTAGTGACACCGCTTTGTCCTGGTTATTAAATGTGAAACTGTCATGTACTGATGCATCTCTACAGTCACCCGAGAGCGAATTACAGACCATCATTGGGAACTTGTCCGGACGGAAAAAGAAGCTCTAGGCTATGATCGCGAAGCTTATGAGCACAATCTTTCCCTCCTCAAAGTCTTCAAGAGCCAGAGCGCCTTCATACCAACCTCTGGTGCTGATGGGGAGATGATGCTTCTTTTCAGATTGGGTGGACTGTTGAACACTGCAGAGAAAGTGAAAGAGGTTGCCGGCCTGGACCGTGTACCCGTCGAGCAAGAGGGAATGAGTGAAATGGGTACCATCAAGTTTTGTCTGGTGGACAAAGATGCACAGAAGAAACTTGAGGAATGGCTCACACAGCAGTCCGTCCTCCAGCGATAGCTGCAACTCTGACGGGGTTACGCGAGGGAGAACCAGTGCTAGTCAGTATTGCAATCATCTCAGCATGACGCGGGGAATAGCTGTACCATGCGCTCATGAATACGTCGCCGAATGCAACACAATCAAATCCATCTAAGACCGACTGCGGCTGGAACAGCCACCCTGTTTGAAAAAGAGATTCTCAATGATTACCTCCCACACTGAGCACCAGAAATCACGTCAGGGTCGACATTATCTTAGGATTCTGCCAACTTCGTTTTCTATGCTAACGTAGACTGCAGCGCACCTGTTCAATTACCTCCATGTACGAGGTGCAGCAACCCACTAGTCCTCACATAAGAATAAAGCGGATTCGAGGGAGTGCAGCGACTGATGGGCTGGTGCTCTTTCCAATATTGTGTTGTGCACTTGCCGGAAGGGCGTAAAGCCATCTTACCGATAGACAGCCCAGCTCGAGCATGAAATCCTCAAATGAACAGCCGACGACAACCAATTCCCAGAATAGCGACATCATCACTAAGCACAGTCTGTGGGCAACTCGGCGAATCAGGATCAGCTCAGCCACGACCACGATACCGCTTACGGTCAACCGCAGCCACAAGCGGCACGTCATCAGCACTGCAGTTCAGCTTTGCTGATACATTACGGCGCGATCGGCGGAACTATCAATCGACTAATGTTTGGAGCTGGAGGAGCTGAGGCTGCTGATGTAACAACACGGAGATCACCACGAAGATCTTGGTACAAATCGGGAAACCCCCATGTCCAACTTGAAAGCCACCCCAACTATCTACATGACTTCGGACATGTTGTAAAAGGGACACACGAAATTCTTTGTTGCGTTCAACAAACATCCAATGACTGCGCATACATACCATGCCTCAACGCCCCTCGCAGGAGCAAGACCTACAACACTTGCTACCATCGACCATGACTTCTTCCAAGTTCTCATCTAACAGACCGATACCTGCGATCACACTCCAATTGGCTACTGACGATCAGAGCGCACAGTACAGTCAACCGCTACCTCATGGCGATTTCGAGGAGCTCAAAGAAGCGGCAAACGAAGACAGGGTACGCCCTCAACAAAGAGGTGCCGTAAGCGAGCATCAGTGGTACTAACATATACACCAGGACCTCAAGATACGTATCCGGAAATTACGCGTTGTATCGCGCACCCTCGCTCTCTTCATCTCTATCGCAGTTCTCGTCCTCACTGCCCTTACACTGCACAAGTTCCTCAGCACACGCAACATTCACCGCATTGTTCGACTTCAAAACGGCGAGAACATCTTACGCACACCCTGGGCGAAGAATACACGGGCATGGCCAACATACATGTACTTTGGCGTTGCAGCCATCTCCGTATTACTCAACTTCGCGACAATCTTTTCTTATAACTGCGGTATCGAGCAGGCTAATGTAGCTGCTGTTGTCACGAGTACCTTTAGCTGGGTCAACATGCTGGGGAACTTTATTGTGTGGTGTGTAGCCGCTACGGTGTATCGCACTGAGAAGGATAAGAATGGGAAGAGCGATGATCTTTGGGGTTGGACGTGTAGTTCTGGTGCTAGGGCGATACAAAAAGAGTTCGTGGGCGACATTGACTTTGGCAGCTATTGTAATGTGCAGGTAAGCGCATGATCTTGAGGAATTTGAAAAGAGGGCCTGCTAACGCAGTATGCAGAGTGCAAGTTGGTATGTTGGTATTGTGCAGGCCTGTGCTGCATTACTGACCGTGGTAATTTTCGTGCTGGTTTTCAGGAGGAGGAAGACGAAGAAGGCGGTAGAGCAGAGGCTGAAAATGCATGGCCTCGAGCCGAGTAGATGTTGACCGGGAAGACCTCCGCCGCACAGGAGGCGAACACATAATAACAACCGGTCTATCGCCAGGTACCAGCCTTGTGTACCGTTCAATACCCACCACGGGGGTCTAGGATATGATCCCGTCGCCCCAAACAACCGCACCCAGCCATCCTCGGCCCCAAACCCGTCTCCTAACTTCTGCGCATCATGGTGTATTCATACCCACCTCATCCACATCTCCCACAGTCCACGCTAGTCTCTATCACGTTGAGATAGCGTACCTGCATGCACCGACCTCGCAAACCACTCCCTGAAGTCCCTGCTTACCAAAACAAGCGGGACCCTTTTCCAAGAACGGACAACAACATGCGTGCGCAACGGTTACCACCCAAGGAACGAAAAGCCCAAAAGGTACTAAGACAGGTCGTAAATAACGCTTGAGACGCATGCGAGTATCGCAGATCCCACGAGGAAGTTCTGGATAAGAAAGGAGGAGGGTGGGAGCATGGGGCAACGACGCGCGAGAGGGCATGTTTTAAGAACGGAGAGGAACCCGCTGTACCTGGTATCCAGAAACAAAATACATGATACATTTGTTTACTACGACTGTTACTGAAGTGCAGTGATGCGAAACATGCTGGTATGTTCGAGAAGAACCGAAGAGACGTAGGGAAGACATTCACCAAAGACTGACGAAATAACCAGTGCACTCGGTCGTTGCCAACCTGGCTATGCGCCACCATCTTTCTCCTTACCGCTGTCGCTTCTTCCCAGGAAACGCAAGACGAGTGTGATCGAGAATGCTTGCTTCTCAGGGTTGAGACGCTTGAACGAGAGTATGCGAAGATAGAGCAAGCTCTGGTAAGTCAAGGCCAATCTCCTTCTGCGGTATCGATCATGCTGACCACGAAATAGTTCCCCGGTGGCGACGCTTATTCTTCGTATGCAGCTCAGTCGTACTCTCCAACACCTGCTGCCTACACCGCAACTCCAAGCTCATCAAGCAAATCCTACACCACCTTTGGCACATCTGGTCTGCCCTACAGCTTCGTTGTTTCCTCAACATCCGCTTTAACATCTATCGTCTCCACCGCAACGCCGAGTTCATTGAGCCAATACTACACCACCTTTGGCACATCCGGTCTGCCTCAAAGTTCAGCCTACAGCTTCATCGATTCCTCATCATCCATCCTAACGTCTACCGTCCCCACCACAGTGCCGAGCTCATCAAGCGAATACTATGCTAGCTTTAGCACATCCGGCTTTCCTCAAAGCTCTGCCTCCACTTGGGTTGTGCCCTCCTCGTCCATAGTCACCAGCTATGTGACCACGCAACCTTCAGTCTCAGCTACGCCTTCATACGCAACAACTCCACCCCAAAGTTCAGCATCTACCTTTGTCGTTCCCTCCTCATCTCTGGTCACCAGCTATGTGGCCACGCAACCCTCAGTATCAGCCACGCCTTCCTACGCCATACCCCCACCAGAGCCCACAGCAAGCGACACACCACCCGAACCCACCAACCCCAACATCCCCACCCACCCCGGCTACCGCTCAGTAGCCTACTACGGGAACTGGGACATCTACGCACGCAACTTCCAACCCCAGCAAATACCCGCAGAGCAACTCACCCACCTCCTCTACTCCTTCGCCGACAACAAGCCCGACGGCACCGTCTTTCTCACCGACACATACGCCGACGCGGAAAAGCACTATCCGACTGATTCCTGGAACGACGTGGGCAACAATGTCTATGGATCCATCAAGCAACTTCAGATCCTCAAGGCTAAGAACAGGAACTTGAAGGTGTTGCTCAGTGTAGGTGGTTGGACGTATACAAACGTTGCCAAGCACATGGATGGACCCATGGCTACGGCTGCGGGTAGGCAACGCTTTGCGTCGTCTTGTGTGGACTTGATTCGCGACTACGGCTTCGATGGCATTGATGTGGATTGGGAGTATCCTACCGACAAGGAGCAAGGCGGGCAGTTACTTGCACTGTTGAAGGAGATCAGATCCCACCTGGACGAATATGCCGATACGCTTGTGTACGAAGATGAGTCTGGACGCGAGCTGAAGCCCAAGTTCCTCTTGACGATTGCTTCACCGGCAGGAGAGAAGAACTACAAGCATCTGCCCTTGAAAGAGATCAGTGCAGTCACAGACTTTATCAATCTGATGGTAAGTATTGACCTCTCCAGATGCAGTAATAAATAAACTAACGCGAAAATAGGCATACGACTACGCCGGCTCCTGGGATAACCAGACTGGCCATCAATCGAACCTTTACCCGTCGACCTCGACTCCCCTGAGCACGCCATTCAATACGGCTTCCGTTCTGACCGCCTACAGCGCCGCGGGCGTTCCTTCCTCCAAGCTCAATCTTGGCATGCCGCTCTACGGTCGCTCCTTCACCAACACTCAGGGTCTAGGAACGTCGTTTAGTGGCATCGGCACCGGATCGTTTGAGCGAGGCGTCTACGACTTCAAGGACTTGCCCCTTGGAGGTGCACAGGAGTACTACGATGAAGAGGCTGGCGCAACGTACAGCTACGACGAAGCGAGTGGCGAGTTCGTCAGCTATGATACTGTGGCCATGGCGCTCAAGAAGGTCGACTACATTGCAGAACAAGGGTTGGGTGGCGCAATGTGGTGGGAGATCAGCGGTGACAGGACAGATGACAGCGGGAGCATCGTGACAAACGTGAGTCGTGGGTGTCTGAGAGTGGAGACGAGTTTGCTAACGTATAAAGGTTGTCGAGAAGATGGGCGGCGGGAGTGGTGCAGGCATCGAGTCATCGCCCAATTGGCTACTGTATCCCGACTCCAAGTTCGACAACTTGAGGAATGGCGTGTCAACGACACCATAGGTCGCGGGGCGATTGCGCAGGGGGTGAGTCGTGGATGCAGGTGCAGCTGTTGGCGAGCATGTCAGGTGGTGGTGCAAACCTAGAATCGCGTAAGTTATTACTGATCGCCATCGGTAAACGTTGAGATGGAGCATTGGTGGCGCGAGCATTCATGCGTTCGCATACATGTAGTAATAAAACTTGTCATATACCCTACCCTTGAGATATCTCGCTTATTGCCAAGCTGGAACATCATCTAGGGGACTGGACCCGCGTGACACAGTTGCAGCAGTGTTTGAGGCTCTGCTACCCTAGGTGTAGACGATAGCGCGGAAGCCATGCTGCTTCTGGCGTAGATCATCTTCGATATATTGCCAGTGTCGATATTCTACGCCGCCGTCATACTACGATCGACGGCCAGGGTGCTGGAAGAAGAAAAACGAGTACACGATCACAGGCACGGCGGGGGTGCTGTTGGTGATTGTCGTTGAATTTGCGTGGTGTCTGAGCGCATGAGGGCTAGGATATGCCCGCCGCGCGCATATGTGCCGCCTGCCGAATGATACATACAGAACCGAACGCCCTAGCTCCATTCATGCCGCGAAGTAATAACAGTCGTACGATATAGCACCAAAATGTGCTGGAGGGTATAGCAAATCTATCAGGCACCACAATGTGCTCATTTTACTCGTTTTACTGCCTCCTGATCTCGTCAGGCGAGCAGGTGTCAGCGGGCGGGAGTAAGCGCTGGTAGGATTGCTCGCCGACTATAGTCGACTCCCTGTGATTAAGGAAGGTGCGTATGCGCTCGTCGCGATCTCCACTTGAGCTCAGAGTGGCATTCCTGCTCCGGCTGTACTCCATACTCGCCTCGCGGTGGATCTGGTCGCGCCGCTCTATGACCGAGTTGTTGAAGGTGTTGAATCTAGTGCCCTGCACGACGCCGCCTATGCTGACAAAGGCGAAGATGAGGGCCATGAAGGTAAAGTTGGACATCTGAATCGTGCGGGCGTCCGAGTCCTTGGCGCCGCCGCCGTTCTCGTAGTGCCAGCGCTCCCAGTCCTCCCAGGTCGCATTGGTACGCGGATCCGTATTCCAGCGATGTGGATCATAGTGCCAGTCGTTATGACGGGGGCCCATGGGCATCTGGTGGTGACCGGCCCAGCCGTGGCCCCAGGCATCATACGCTTTGCGTTTCTGGACATCGGAGAGGATGTCGTGGGCGGCGACTAGCATTCGATAGCGCTCGAGACGCACGTGGAGGGGCAGCTGGGCGATGGCCGACTCGGCATGGCAGCGGTCGGGGTGGTAGAGCTTGACGAGGGCATAGAAGCGGTGCTTGGTGTAGGCGTCGCCCTTGCGGCACTTCAGGATCTGGTAGGGCGTGGGCGTCTTGTGCGGCTTCACGGCGTCCGGCCACCTGAGCAGCTCTGCGTCATCGCGGTAGGCGGGCGCGTCCTGGTGTTGGGCGTAGGAGCGGCGCTGTGTTGCGGCCTCAGGACGTGCGAATCTATGACGGCATGACTTGCCCGGCTGGGGACCTGCGCAGCTCCCAGCGTGGGAGTAGTAGAGGGGACTGAGGTTAGTGTACGAGGGCAGGAGGATGGAGCACTTCTTGGGCAGCATTGTCGCGCACTGGCAGGCGTGGACGGGCGCGCATCTCCCAGCTCCAGGCAGGTGTCAGTGTGGGAGACGGCGTGCTGCGTGTGGGGTGCTGGCTGCTGGTGGCGTCGGCGCATGGGCGATCGCAGCAGCCCGCGGGCGAGATAGACGCGGCCGGCGCCATCGCTCACTCATCGGTACCTCACGCTAGGCCGCTTGCGTGCTGCATGCGACACTCTGGATGCGAACAGGAGTTGGCCGTGGTTGATAATTTTTCCACGGCCTCGCGCGCCCTCCAGTCGTGCCCGACGCGACTGCGACGGCGCCGGCGTCTCAGCCAGGCAGCCACCATGCAGGTGCGGTCTCTTCCGCTCCCCTCCAGTTGCTCAGACCCGATGCTGGTGGAGCCCTTTGCGCCGCGACTCAGCCTGTCTGTTTGACGTGAACTCCTTCGCCTCGCTTGCGCATGCCGTGCGAACCTCCCCCTGCAGCGACACAAACTCTCGGGTCACGACGCATGAAGTCGACCCTGCATCCAGCCAGCCGCCCAATGTCTTTGTCCTCCAGGGTGGGCTAACTGTGGGGTCTAGAGGGGGCATCCTTCTGCTATAACCCGTTTGCTATCACGCCTCGAGTGCTCTTCCTCCCTCAGCTCCCTCCAGCCTTTGCACAGTACAGTCCTTTCCGTCATTCACTTGCCTATATATCGCCCTACCTTCCATGTTGACCGCCTCCCGCCCCCTTCTCCCCACCTACAGCGCCCTGCACCAAGCCATGGCAAACACACACGACAGCAACGGACACCCCAGGGAAGGCTACCTGAACCTGACCCGGCGCATGGAGACTGAAGAGGAAGACCAATTTGACGTCGATCTCACCATCTTAGATTTCCTTGTCTACAAGGCCATTGACTTGGTCTTTGAGTGGAAATCGAGCAGTGATCCATACCATTCAGATCTGCCCAATGCGCTCGTCAACATGACTGCTGGTATGACTTGCGCCTGTTACGGCAATGCATCACGTGCTCACGACTATCAGATTGGAGGACATTCCTCGGGCATAGACACCATGGCCGACGCCTAGATGCCAAGGCGTCATTTCGATCGCGTTTGTTGCAGTTTGCCCTGATCTTCACACATCGGCTGCATCACGACGAGACCTGGACAACCGAAGAGTCACTGAACAGTCTGCGCGAGCAGAACAAATCCCGTGGCGAGTACTGGCGGCAACGAACTCAGCATCCTGCTGCGCTTCAGGACCCTTTCGACCAGCAGAAGGACTTTCCTCTTTCCGATGGCGCTCTTTACGAAAACCGCTCTGCTCTTGCCTCCGCACTGAGAATGCCTGTCGATCAGCGGAGGTGGGTGACCGATGTAGCAGGCACGCCCTCGCTCCACTGTTTACTCCCTGTCTTCATCGAGCTTACCGCCGCACGTGTCAATCTGGATGACGACTGGCTGCCAACGGCTGAGTGGTTCGACTTGGCAGCACAGTTCATGCTACAGGCTATTATCGGCGAATATCTTCGCAATGGTGCTTACGGTGACGAAGCTTTTAACACCATCTTCGCCTATGGCTGCCCTGGCGTCGAACGATGGGCCGAAGAACCAGCGGACGTGGCAGCAATGAGGAGACTCTTCTGTGCTGAAGGTAATCTTCGCGAAGAGAACTGCGAGTGGACCAGGATCAAGCGCCAATACATCAACGAACTACTACCAAACGGTCGGGCGCAATCAAGTCTACAGGCGATAGAAGCAGCCCAGGAACGATATCCATACGCCGAGTTCGAAGAGAAGCTACTATCTTTTCTCAAGTACCTCCACGAAGGCCTCGTCAAGCCGGACCTCGCGCAAGTCGAGGAAGGTCGCATCAACATCGACGGCAACGAACTATCTGAAGCCGAATCACGAGCAATGATCCAGCGAATGGGGCTTTGATCGACTCTGCGTCCCCAATTTCTTTAATCTCGGGCGAGCTCGGAGGAGTTTCTTCGGCGGCCTGGGTACGTGTTTTTCGGTTGTCTAATCTTGTCTTTCTGTACTAGCGTAGGCCGTTCTTGTTCATACGTTTTTCCTCCAGTTTGCGAGCTATTCTTTTTTATTATTGTTATCATCTGTACCAAAAGTCATGTAGCTTCGCGCGTCTTGTACCATATACCCACATCAGCTAGTTAGGTCGCCGACACAGGCTTGTAGTCGGTGCAATCACACATATTTCAACATCTCGATGACTACTCTTTTCTCCCGCTACTCTCCATAAAAACTCCTCTTCGAATCCACTGCCACATCCTTAGTGTCCCTCCTCAATCCATCGCTCCGAACACGTCTTGTCATGGCCACATTCTGTAGGTAAGTGTCGTGGACCATCTTGTAGTCCTTTCTCTACCTCTTACAACACAGACGTCATCTTTACTCTCCGGTATGAGAATAATGCCACCAATCGCATCAGCGCGTATCGCAACTCCCTACAAATCTCAAATTGATTGAATAGTGGAGTATACGGACCCACGACATGCGCACGCCAGCAGCCGTCCGGGCGACGCTTATACCCGACACTAGTCACACAGACACGCTAACAGATGTGGAAATTTTGTCATCATTGTGATGGTGTGATTCTGATGATCAAACACTCTTGATTTGATTTGTTTTGGGAGAGAAATAGCCTATCCTTCAACCTACTCTTACATGTCATCAAACGTTGCGGTGCCCGCCCTAAAAGGCGAAGGTATATGTACAAGAAAAAACACAAACAGTAGCTGGTAGATCAAACAGCAGAGTAAACGGCAGTGCATCCTCGTCCACATTCCACTTTTTGCTCGAATTCGACTGTGCGGCCATTGACCTTGACCTTGTTCCGTGGTGTGATTTGGAAACGATGCATCTCTTTTTCTCTTAGTTGTTTCCCAAAACCGCCCGCAGATGCTGCTCGCTCTTGCTCAGCGGCCTGGTCAAGTGGTTGGATGTATGTTGGTGTAGCTAAGTTGCTCCGCTTGCCACTACCAATCTGGTAGTATTCGTTGTTACCCCAGAATAAAATGTCGCGACCCCAGTTTGTGTCGTTGTCTGTGAGCTTCTTCGACCGACCGGTCACAGCGACGCTGGCAACGTTGTCGAGGATGGCGGCGGCATGGGTTGAGCCGACTGAGATGTTCAATAGACGTATCGGAATTGCAGTGTTCTTGGCTTCGTCCCACTCGAAAAGACCGGAGAAGGCGGGAACCTTGACGGGATCGGCTTGCGTGTGCACCCATCGACCAACACCAAGTTGACCTGTGAGACCGAATCCAAAAGCCCATGTGTCTGCAGTAGTCTTGTTGCCTTTGGTCGCTTCGACAGCAAGGAAAGATGTATTCCCGCCCGCGAAGACGTTTGTCACCTTGCCTAGCGAGCCAGAGTATAGCTTTTGTGTTGGGAGTAGAGATGGCGCATCTACGCTTTGCGCTTCAGCGTTGTACGGGAAACCAAGTTGACCGGAAGTGTTGTCGCCAAAAGTAAAAGCTCGTCCTTCGGAATCGCAAACTAAGCTATGGTAGTCACCAGTAGCGATCCTCTTGACGGGGAATCCTTTGAGGGTAGTGACCTCGTGGGGAATGTCGAACGCGCCAGTGGGACGGCTCTCGAATGATAGACCCGGTATACCTAGCTGACCTTTGCTAGGGAAGTCTTGTGAGCCTGACGCGAAAGAGAAGACGCGGCCAGAAGAGGTGAGCATGAGCGCATGCTCTAGCCCGGATGAGATGTCCGTGACGCGCTCGCTCCATCCGAGGTTCTCAGGTGTACGGTTGCGATATGAGATGTTGTTGGAGCCACCCCAAAAAGGGATCCAGGATGTAGATGGCGGCTTTGGGCCTTCCTTCTGCTCCGCCTGTGAAACGGGTATCGAGTATACGGAGCCGCTCTTGGAAAGGCCAATGATGCGATCGCGGGAGATGGCGAGGGAGGTCAGGTTATGGCCCGTCAGAGTCTTGGTAGGCTCCTTGATGTCGTTTGCGAAGGCGGTGCCCCATTGTAGAAGATCGCCCTTCTCGTCAATAGCCGCGCCGAAGTTTCTGTCGAGCTTGATGTCCCGCAATAGCTTTCCGTCGAAGAAGGTCAAGCGTCTTGGTGTCTTGATGTACTTTTCGTCAGAGTCGGGTGCCACGACCTTGCCTGAGTTGGAACCCCATGTGTAGACTCCAGGGTTCTCCCAGCTCTTGATGACTTGAAGATGCTGCGAGCTGATGATATTTCTATTGTCATCGGCAGTTTTGGCCTGCCGCCGTGGCGCTTCAAACTTCAGCTCCGGTTCCTCTTGTTCCTCCGCGTGCGCATCTCGTATGATCGAGTCTCCGTTGCACCATTGGTATGCCGTGGCGGTAGCCCAGAGAGCGCCGACGGTGGCTATGGATCGGACGAAGTGTTGCTGTCGTCGTTGTGCATAGGGATGGGATGCGGTCCGGACGTGTGATTGCGGGGGTCTGGTCGCTATGTTCCTACATACTCGCGGGGCATGCGGCGTTCGGAGGGTCGCGCGTGCTACACACTTTGTGCTGAGCATAGTGTGGTATATGGAGTGGTGGGCTCGTAGTGGCAGGTGTCGTCCCGTGGGCGTCTGGATAGATCAAGAGAGCAACATTTGCAGCACGATCGAAGGTCCGATTACGGTTGGAGCATTGGTAATTGGACAGTTTGGATAGTTTCTCTAGATCGTAGCTGCGTGATCAATGACGCTCTAGACTTGCTCCACACTGACAGATGAGTCTAGCGCGAACTGGGCCTAGCACTACACGCTGGACCCCCACGAGCATCACCGAGCTCCGACATGTGGAAGCTGCGTCGTGTTTGCTGTCTACACACAACAAACCCACCAACCCCCGAACTGCGCCAGAATGTACGAAGCAGACTCGTGGTACACTGCCTTTGTGCCGCGCACCGCCAAGCCCCAGGAGAAGGGCAAGCACCGCCGCAGAGAGAGCCTGCTTAAACAGGAGAACGTAAGCCCACCATCCGCTGCCTGGGTACGTCTGAGCACTTCTGATGATTGTACTTGCAGGAGAGTCAGGCTGACTTCGAGCGCGCAGAGGCCATCGCGGAAACAGCAGAAGAAGATCGACCCGGCAAGCTCAATGGCCCTCCACCGGCCACCGTGGCCAGACGCGCCAAGTCGTACAGCGACTTCTACACCGTCGTGCGCGCACATCTGAAGAAGGAAAGGGCCCTCGAGAAGAAGAAGTCACGTGAAGACATCAGCACCGAGCTGGAGTTTGCCGACTGGTACGGCGGTGTCAGCGATGAGCTACTCGAGGCCAGCCACGAGGAGTACAGGCTCTACCAGAACCAACTACACATAACGCGAAACCACCTCGAGAACATCATCTCCGACACAACATCGACCCTCGATGTTCTCTCCTCCCTCTCCGAATCCTTCAAGATCGTCGAAGCCCAAACAAACGCCTTCCGTACACAATGCGAAGGCCTCATCGACGACCAGAAGCGCATCACCAAGCTCGCAGACGATATGGAGCAGAATCTGCGATACTACCTCTACCTCGAACCTACCACGAAACGGCTCAATGCTCCGGGAGCAGGCAAGATTGTGCGGGGTAAAGAATTCGTCGAGATGCTGGCCAACCTGGACAGCTGCCTCGAATACATGCAGGCGCATTCCAAGCATCGCGAAGCCGAAACGTACCGATCCAGATACCGACTGCTCCTTACCCGTGCTCTCACCCTCATCCGCGTCCACTTCACCGAAGCGCTTCGAGAAATCGCAGCCGATGTGTCGAAGCGGATAGCGGATAGACAACTGAACGACACCACCATGTCTGCGCTGTTGTATGCCAAATTCCGCGTCGGCGCGCCGGAGCTGAAGAGTATAGGCATCGAGATACAAAAGCGGGCAGTACTGCCGGCTGGAGCAGCGCCGGGCGGAGAAGCCGAATACCAAAGTCTGATGAACGAGCTGTACCAGAGTTACTCAGCCACTCGTGGCCGACTCATACTCCCCATCGTTACGAAGAAGATTGGCGAGATCGCACAAGCTCCAAGCACATCGACGGATCTCGTAGCCTTTGCGCGGAGCAGCATAAGCTACATACGTGGCATATGTTTCGACGAGTGCGACTTATGGCGAGAGTGGTTTGAGGGCGACGGCGGATTGTACGACTTCCTCGAAGCTGTATGCGAGCCTCTATACGACTACCTGCGACCGCGCACCATCCACGAGACACAGATACTCAAGCTATGCGAACTCTGCACGCTGATACAGACACGATACATGGAGGAAGAAGAGGAGGAGTCGCCGGTTGAGGCGAACAAGCTGGACTTTTCTGTCATTGTACATCCCGCCCTGCAAGATGCACAAAACAGATTGGTTTTCCTATCGCTTGCGATCCTGCGAGACGACATTGAGAGATACAAGCCTAAACCAGAAGATCTCGATTATCCAGCAAAGAACAAGAAGCACGCCACTTCTGGGACAAAGTCGAACCAACCCGTTCTGTCTGGCAAGAAGCAGCCCAAGTCCGAGGTCCCGCCCACCCCTTTGATGCCAAAGACGCCCACAATAGTCGAAGACGACGACCCAGATGCCCGGTGGAACTTCAATACCGAAGCGGCCTTCAAAGACTGGTACCCTACATTGCGCAAAGCGATTTGGTTGCTCAGCAAGATCTACAGGCTCGTTCATGTGAGTCCTTGAACGCTCGCATACCCTTCATCATGCTAACGTGCTCCTAGTCTTCTGTATTCGATGATCTGGCTCATCACATCGTCCACAGCACCACGCTTTCTCTCGCGCAAGCTAGCACGCTGCTTGCTAAATCCGCCTCACCCACCGATGCCGCCCTCTTCCTCGTCTCGCACCTCCTTCTCCTCAAACAACAAATCGTAGCTTTCGACATTGAGTTCGTCACGCCTGAGACTGAAGTCCAGTACAATTTCGCAAGCCTCACGAATACTTTCTGGGAGCTGCGTGCTCGGGGCGGCCTCTTCAACCCGCGTAATCTCGTTGGTCTTTTGATACCCAAGGTCGTAGAGAACATGTTGGATGCCAAAGCTGAAGTGGATGCACGCCTGCGCCAAGCGATTAATGACTTTACTGGTCAATTCGTCGCCAGAATGACGGCACCGATCGATACCAAGGGCAACAAAAAGGTGCCTGTGAGTGAAGCTCCTGCGCGCACGAGCAAGATCCGGCAGAACATTGAGCATGAGACGCCGTTCCTGAGATCGAAGCTGGAAGAATACATCACCGACGCTCGTACACGCGAGATGCTTGTAGCTGCTGTCATGGAATCTGTCACCCAAGCATACGAAGACTGGTACGACTCGTCATACTCGCCATCTCTTTCCAACCAAAACGGGGCGAGCAGAAGCACGAAGGGTAAGGGAAGGGAAGATGGAGTCTGGGATCCGGACGTGTTTAGTGAGTGGTGCGTCAACACGTTCAAAGTCGGCACGCTAGGACTGGGCAGCATGGATGATGAACAAGATGATTATCAAGATGATGATAGCGATGCAGACAGTATGGGTGCCACCAGCGGGAGATCAGGCACAGAAAGGACAGGAAACACGGGTCTGAGGATCAAGATGTGATAGCTCCCTGTAAGCCGGATAAAAATATGAAAATATTTATCATGCTGGTCTATGGTCGAAGCACCATCACCATGCTATCGGACAGAAATCTACTGTGACTTCCCTCCCACAGTCACTTTCCGTAAACACGGGCATCTTCTCTTCTTCCATCTTCTCAACAATATCCACTTCCGTTTCTGCATCGCTCTCCGACTCTAGCTCTTCCCTCTTCCACGCATTCCGCTTCTTCTGCCTTGCTTTCTGCCGTCGCAATGCGTTCTTCTCGCGGCGTTCAATCACATCGCTTTCTTCGCCTTCCTACTATAATTGATCAGCATCATCATTACTGTCATGGCAACAGTCAAATCAAAGCAAGAACTTACCGAGCTAGGTTCGCCAGAATCCGTCGTCGATGCGCGGAGCGAGTCGTAGATCGAGGTCGTACTCGACACGGAAAGCTGCTTGATTGGCGGGTATTTGGCTTCGTCCTCGGTGTCACTGGCTATTTCTGTTGCCATTTCGGAGGTCGTGGTGGAAGGTGAAGGCGAAGAGGAAGGGGCGGATGAGTCTTCATCGTCGCTCAGATCTCGTCTTGTCCTTCCTCTTCCCTTTCGCTCTTGCGCGAGTCTCTTCCTCGTCTGTTCATTCAGTTCCTGCTGTTTTCTCGGTAACACGTCGTCGTCTCTCTTTGCTCCAAGCTTCGCGACTTTGTATGTTTGTCTTTCTTCTCCCCGCTTTTGTCTGTTTGGTGACTCTCGCTTCTCGGAATCCTCACTGTTGCTACTGCTGAGGCTGTCGTGTGCCCTTGCAAGCGTTCCACCACACTGCTTCTCAAAGTTCTCTGCGACGTCGAGGACGGACTTCATCGATGCTTGTGCGGCGTTGTATGCTTTGCCCGAAAGACCGGAGATGGAGAGTTGGAAGGCCATGTATGGGCGTAGTAGGTGAAGAGGCGAGTTGATGGAGCGCGTCTTGGTGCGTGCGTCGGTCTCGATATCACTCTCTGACTCACTATCAGACCGGGTACTACTCGCTTCTCTCCTGTGCGGCAAAGTCTTGGAGCGCGTGAGACGAGCGGCGACAGCAGGCGGGGAGGATTTGTGTTTCTTCGCCACCGGAGCTTTTGCCTTCGTTTCTTGAGCTCGTCTCTTTGGCGATTTTCTTGTCTCGTTTACTGCTGTCACATCTTCGTCTTTGTCTTCTTGCTTGATCTTGACGGTGCTGTCTTCTCCGTCGATGCCGCGCAAGTAACTTCTCTTATCCTTGTTATCTTCGACGGATACTGTCGATGCACGGAGTGACTCCACTGTAGATCCATGTCCCGAAGTCACTCTGGTGATGGTGCTGCGAGAGGGAGGTCTAGAACGCGCTTTGCAGACTCGGGTTCGTGCCATGATGGGACTTCAAGTGATGTATCGAGAAGACTCCGGGGGGGATTGCGGATAAGTAGACACTTGTTTTGGTTATCGTATCATAACTGAAAAGATGACACCGACTCAATGAGGTAATGAGTCCTGAAGATCAGCTGCAAAGCAATTGTTTGTCTATGTTGCAGATGTGCAACACAGAAAGAACGTTAAAGAATTGACAGGGACAATCTGAAGCAACATTCATTCCCAGCAAACTTTTGGTCTCAGACGTCATGCCTAGGTAAAAGGTTCTGTAAGAATGCACGGTCATTGATCCGACACGGAGGAGTAATGAATTGTAATGCGATAGAAATATCATTACTGTAGTAGTGTGGAATGCGTAGGGCAAGTATAAAAGACTGAAACCAGAACACCAATGCCATGCAGAAAAGTAAGTCAAGTATGTAATGCGAAAACATCAACCGTGCAGAAAGAGACCGTCTTTAGCATGAAATGCAATCGCCATGCCGCCCATGCCACGTGCAGCGGGTTCCACCAAGTGCTCACAAAGGCACAATCGAGCCACCCTGAGAAGCAAGCGGGTCAACAGAAGGTTGTTTGGTGACGGTGTTGACTGCATTCTCTTTGTACTTTGCAAGCGTCTTGTCGGAGTTGAAGTTCTGGTTGATAACACCGCTCATGCCTTTCTGGCAGTGATTGCCGTTTGTCTGAGAGCAGTAGTACCAGATGGGGTTCGTGTCCTGCACCGTAAAAGTGAAGACGTTGGGCGCTTCACCCGCGGTGGTGTTGAAGTTGAAGCCAGAGAAGATGGAGTTGTCGCCGCCGAGAGGCTCGCATGGCTTGTCGAACGAGGACTGCACGAAAGTGTGCGCCTTGGGGAGGAAATGGAACTCCATGAGATCTCCCGGTTCTGCGACTACGTTCTCGGGCTCGAAATGTAGGCCGCCGTTGGCGGTGGTGGAGCCAGCGAAGACGCGGTGGACTACTCCGGTAGGCCGGACTGGCTGTGCTGGCACGGCGACGGTGAGGCCAACGAGGGCGGCGGCTGTCAAGGCGAGAGATGTGAAGGCAACCATGTTGTCTGATGAGTTTATCTGTTGATGTCGTAGGAGTGGTGATCTGACAAGGAAGCGACTAAAGCGATGATGACTAGGAAGCAGAGACGAGCTATGAAGTGCTATCGACGATAATAGGACTGTGGATGCTGTGAAGAGAGTAGTTTGATGTGGAAGATGTGATGCAGATGTAGTGATGAAGATGCTGTGAAGAAGGTGATGTATTGAAGATGAAAATGAACTTGACAGACAAGATATTCTCTAGATATATACTCGTCTGGCGAGAGTGCTCACAAATCAAAGGTTGCTGATGTTCTACACATAGCCCTCGGTTGGTGAAATTGCCGTTTGATGGTAAGATGTATCCTTCGTCAGTGCAGCGTCGCATCAGGCCCTTCACACGACCAGAATGCGGAGAATAGTATGACAGGATGCCTAAGATAGACAGGTCACAACTCGCAAAAGCCATCTCGGATAGAAAACGTTCCAGCGTTTGCTAAACACAGCTCCAATAAGCGTCCAGCAGCCCTGCCACTGCGGCTGAAATAGCTGACCCAGGGCGTGGCTTAGCCCCACCACGAGAAACAACGAACAGCGCAATCGTCAGCATTTTACTACTAGGTCTCGACTAAGTCCACTGTAGAGGGTATTCCGGGCGTAATCACAACATTCGCTGCAGCTCGTAGTGTTGGTTGATGCTCATTGAACGTGTTCCGCATGCGCCTTTGCGATGGTGACCCACGTGTCGACGCCTAGCAGGAATGGACGATGGAAACACCACACAGGTCCAACAGCTGAGTACTGTGCCACAGTATGACATTCCTCCCGTCCGCTAGATGGTCTTGGTCTTGTTTGTAATTGTTGGCTATTTTCGGTTCTAAGTGAGCGCTTATAGATCTGGGAGGGGCTGCCCTTTCGAGAACCAAGTAGGTACATGCCGAGACGCCTCTTCGCCGCTCAAGACCTCATTCCAGGACCTGAAACAGTGTCGCTTGCGCGTTATCATTTCCAGCGCGTATTACGCGATGCCCCAAGGTTCGGGGCTGGTGATGTTACGACGGAAGTCCGGGTCGTGGTGGAATCGGCCACGCGGCGCGCACGCGAAGGTGGACCTTCTGGGAGCGATCTGGCTTTGCCTACCTGGGTAACGTCCGTGCACAAGGCTCATACCAAGAATACCACCATCAGTACTGATGTATCTGCATAGCTTCAATCTTTTGTTTCTTAGTCATCGGTCCTGTCCCGAACTCGCGTAAGGCACTTTTAGGATGCTAGAGCGAATGCCTAGTAGATGCGCTGATCCTGTCCCAATGGATGATCTGTGGAGGCCGCTAGCGAGCTGCCGTCAAGAAACACGGTGAAGTCTTAGTCGAACTCGTGAAGGCGGGGCATGTTTCGTCAACACGGTGGTGAATGGTGGTATATCTTTCCTCGGGCGCGAAAAAGGATATGAAGACAGCGGTGAAGTAGGAGATCTGGCGGTCAAGAGTCTTGTTAATACATCCTTGAGGCGACCTAGACCGAAAAAGCAGAAAAGCCGCGCTGCGAGGTTCCACACCACCACAACACTGTAGTGGTGTGCACAGAGAGAATTGCTTTGCCAGATCCTGCATCGCAGTAGTAACGAAAGACTCAAGCGAGAATGGAGGTGGTGTAAAATTTCATTATTTTCTTCTTTCAAGAAGAACGCCAATACATGCTAGCTCGTGACTGCGGAAAACATCCAAAGAAAACATGCTCTATCAAAGACAACACGCTTACATGCAAGCAGCGCCGTCAATGCCAATGACCTTTCCGTTGACCCAGTCACCGTCTTGAGAAGCAAGGAAGCAGACAACGCGGGCAATGTCTACTGGCTGACCAACACGGTTGTGAGGGGACCATGTGCAGGCGTACTCGTCGACTTGGTCGTCGCTGAGCTTGTCACCATCGGGAATGTACTCGCGGCAGACGGCGTGGTACATGTCGGTCTTGATGCCACCGGGTGCAACACAGTTGACGGTGATCCTCTTCTCGCCGGCATCTAGGTTGGGTCAGTAGATGAAGTGGAAGTGAGCATGATGTGACTTACCGATAGCCATGCACCTAGTGAATGTCTCAATGGCTCCCTTTGAGCCGGAGTAGACAGCGTGCTTGGGTACGCCCTTAGCCTGACCGGTGATGGATCCCATAAGGATGATGCGACCACCCATCTCCATCCTCTTGTAAGCCGCCTTAGCGACGAAGAACTGGCCACGGGTGTTGATGGTGAAGACACGGTCGAACTCCTCGGGTGTGACGTCCTTGAAGTGACCGAAAGAGACAACACCGGAGTTGGAGCAGCAGATGTCGAGCTTGCCGAAGTGGGCAACAACATCGTCCATCAGCTTCTCAGACTCCTCGACGTTGCCAACGTTGGCCTTGAAGGCAGCGGCGTCTGAGCCATTGCCGAGTGCCTTGATCTCCTTGACGACTGCCTCAGCACCCTCGACGGCGTTGGCGTAGTTGACGGCGACCTTTGCGCCACGCTTGGCGAGCTCAATAGCCATCGCCTTTCCGATACCACGGCCTACATGTTTGTTAGTATGGGAGGTGAAGCTTGGGTATGATGAAGCTTACCTGAGCCGGTAACAACGGCGACCTTGCCAGCAAGGCTCCATGTCTGCTCAATTGATGCCATTTTGATGTGTTGATGTGTTGAGATTTTGAGTTGAGGAGTGTGAAGGTGTTTGTAGTAGTGATGAGAGTGGTTGTGATGATGATAATTCCCTTCCACGGTCAAGACGAGTACATATATACCCTTTCGCTATTCGGAACGCCAGCGGAGACCGCGTTCAGTGAGTAGCTCTTTTCCATCTGCTCCACCACCGGTATCCCAACATCCATACCACTCCCCCAACTCGAAGCGTCCGGTTCGGCACTCAGCATCGCCCCCAGGAGTCGTGAGTCCTAGGGCTGAAACTGTGTACCTGCGCCGCATCTGTCCCGTAGCGTGGTCCCTGTCCCCGTAGGAGAGCCTGAGCCTCAGGGACAGACCGTCGGACAGAGGGGCCGAAGGGGGCAGGAGCGCTTGCGATTGGACAATTCCCACGAGCTGCGAGGGCCGACCGAGCAACACCAAACTTCCAGCGCCTCTCGTGCAGCACGCACCCGTTTCACGAGATCGAAACATCTTTTTTTGTCCACCGCGAGTAATGCTGGCATCTCATTGAGTTCTGCTGGTGAAGCACCAGGTATGACGCTGCGAAGACTCGCGTTTGACAGTGACAACGAATCGCGAGGCTGATGCGACACCGGCGGCATCGAAACATCTATTTTCGCATCCTCGCATGTCCACCATCAGCCGAGAGTCTTTGCTGGGAGCTCGTTGCTTCGTGATGTGACGCGAACAGATTCGAACGTCGCTGCGACGACTCGGTCCGTCGTGGGTAAGCCCAGGGCCGTAGGGTTCTGAAGATCCGACACGGTCATGTGACGTTCTGGGACAAACTTCGGACCCCTTGGAACGGTTTAGCCTGAACTCGCTCAGGGTTCGGCAGGACTCCGACGCTTCTCAGCACACCCGTGTACTGGAACCTCAATGGCTCCCCATACACCAACGGTCATCATGACTCCCTGAGTGCCGTAGAGTCCGGACTCGACCCGGTAAATGGAAGTGTGTTACAAGTCGGCCAAGCGTGGCTAGGTGTCGCAATCAGAAATGGGTGCTGCCGGCTTCCACAGCGGGGATCCGTCGACAAAACATCCGTGCGTTTTTCACTTCACTTCATCTTCCAACTGCTGTACCGTCGGGATAGATGGAGTGTTCCAAACGGTGGGCAACGAGCTGTGAGCGTTCTCATCTCGAGTACGAGCTGTTGAAGATAAGGGACCTGCGCACAGATTAATAAAGAGTCCATATACGAGCGACCATAACCGAGCACGTACACCGACGATGCATGCCAGTCTTTATCCAGATTACATACCTGTACCAAGAGCACAAAATAGCTG